TTCAGATAAGCACTGGTTATAGGATTGCTTAAGTGAATGCCATCGGGCAGGGCTGAATTAAATTTCCACAGGTCATTCCAACCCACATGTCATTGCATTAGTTTCATCACAATTCTATCAGAAAGAAATCAGATGTGAAAACAATCTCTTATTTCGCATCCTGTTCACTTCGTCAAAGACATGTTCTGTACTATACTCTCCCTAATATTAACCCGAAAAACATTCCTTCGTCCTCTCAAAACTTTTTTTCTGAATTTCATCCTATTTCCAGGGTTTGCAATGACTAGTTGATAAAATAAAGGAGAGGAATTTAAGAGTTTCAGATCTCTTTCACAAGATTTTTCTCTGACTAAATCCTGGCTAAAAAGATTGACTTTTCTGTACCAAGGATTTCAAAACATATCAACGTCCAACTCAAATAAAGTTATCTGACTACACTGGGAAATAACAGCAGACAGCGCTTACTTGGGAGGCAGTGATTTGAATGGAATTTTTGCAAAGAGTGTTACTAGTGATTTTCAGGCCCGGGGATGGACATCCAAACACCTGTCAACAGCCCTAGTTCTGAAAGCATCACTTGCAAAATAGCATTAAGAACAGAGTGTTCTTTCAAATACTGGATGATATAATAATTTATCTTGTCTATCTATTTCAAAGATGAAATAATCTAGAAGCACAAAATTACAGAAGTATATTCAAACTCATGTTTAAAAAGAGAATTAAATGATTTGTTCAAAAGGCACGCAGGCATTGCACGGCAATGTCAGAACTAAACTGAGTTTTTTCAGCTCTCAATTTGGTTCCTAGTGGATGATACTTTGCTGATTCAATCACTCTCACTTTTTGCATTTTCTTCTCTGCTTCGACCATCCTCAGCAATCGGTTATTTGAATCTCTACTACTGGAGAAAAATGGAAGTAACACTAAACCAATAGAGTTAAACCAATCATTTCCCAGAAGGTTCTGTCTATGATTCCCTAGATGCTCCTCCCATACTTGAGTTTGACATTTATTTTCACTTAGTTCAGCTAAGACAAATTAAGAAGATGACTGAGGGATTGGGTGCATGGGAAGCTGTGTCGATAAAGAAATATGAGATGTAGAATCCATTCAAGGGGCTTCCCTTAAAAGAACAAAAGTAAGAGGTCAGCACTGTCCCATGAAGTTGACTAGATTTCTGTTTCTCATGTCATTTTTCTTTGATGTCTTAGAAAGTGATTTCTGTATTTATTTTCAGAGTTGCTGCTTCTGAACTGTTCTCTCCTTTGCCTTTTTCCATTTCTGGCAAGAGTGAAGGTTTTAATGCTGTCGGTAAAATAATAACGTAAACTCCATAAAACCAACATTCTGTAAATAAAGCTGAATCTTGTGGAACAGAAGAAAAAAATCTGACTGAAGCCAGAAAAATTATTCAAAGAAACAAAATGCCTAACAGTCTGAAAAAGAGTTTGAGAAAGAATAAGCAAAGCCAAAGAGAAGAGGAAACACGTTAACTTTATTATTGCTGTGCCATTATGCTAGTCACAGAAATATTATAGAAAAGGGGTAACTCTTTTGGTATATTCTCCAGTAAATATATTTTTTTGAGAAACTTCTCCCCACATTAATTCCTGGCAGATCTGCCAATGTTTCCTCTCTTCCATTATCTCCCTGAATTCACAATTACCTGAGCTTGTCCTCAGTGCTTTTTGCAATGTTCCGCTAACAAAGCTATTTCTGGATTGCCACAGAAAAGGTAAGCTCAAAGAGAAAACATATCACTTGGTCTTCTCCAAGGCCAACTGGCTGCTTAAACAAAATTTTAAGGAAGAGGAACCAGTAATTAAGTTTGTGATCTAAGAGCACACTTGATTCATGGGAATAATCTGTATTTTTCTCCACTATATTTTCAGCTTAGAATTGTCACACAATAGATGCACAATACATTTGCTGGACTGATGGACAGATAAAAAAGGACTAAAATCATGATGCTAATTCTGGCCTTGGAAGGTGTGGTCCTGCTTCTTTTTTCCTTCTGAGGGCAGGTGGAAGAGGTGAACTTGTATTACTCTCTGGCTTCCATCACCTCAGTTATTCCACATTGTCAATCTCACCTGAGATTCCTGTCCAATTTTAAAAATTCTCAATTATATCACTGTTTCTCTCATACCTTTGTTATCTCTTCTGGAAGGGTCTTCAAATATTCTCTCCACTGAAGAATACTCCTCTTTGGTTAGGGGGAAATATATACATATATTTTATAATTATTTAAAATCCAAACATAAGTTGGAGCTTCATGTGCTCATCTTTATAAGATATCCCAATTAAAAAAATATAAACTAGCAGCCAACATTAATTAAAAACAATTTCAATATTTTCTGGCAATTCTCAATGTTTTACAGTCTCAAACAATCCTGTGTATAACCAAAGAAACTCTTATTTGTCTTTTCCCATTATTCACGTTTAGTATGTCTCAGACACTACAGCTGCCTCAAAGCTTTTCTCTTTACAACTCAATCTCTATCAAACACTCTTCCATCCAGCACAGGAAACCTACAAGGCTCTTCTCATGTCTTCCTGTCCACCTTTTTTCCACCTCCATTTTTTTTTTCTCTTCTCTTAGCCCTTCCTATCCCCCATCATGAAGCCCCCATGCTGGCTCTTCACAAGTCCTCTTCATAAAAAGGCATAACTGGAGCTGGCACTCACAAAATTGTCTTTGGGTTGGGAATGATATGGAAAAAGAGAGGAAAAAAGGGCTCTGAATTATCGCACATGTTAATAATGAAATTTAGTACAGGAGAACCAAGGAATAGATGGAAAACAATAGAAAGAAAAGATGAGCGACTGATGAGAAACACCTCGCAACAGATAATGTTAGCCTTACAAAAAGCAAGATGATAAAGAGAAATGCTTACAAGTTTAAGAAATCCAGTAGAAGCAGTGATAAAAATGGCATATGAAAAAAAGTGAAGCTTAAATTGAAAAGAGAAGTGTAAGATTTTAGAGTTTGAATTCAGAGATTGTAAAAATAAACAATTGTGATGTCAGAAGGCTGACGGAGCCCAGTTGTCATTTGAACTTGGGAGTAGAGGAGACATTTAGAATCTGGCTGGAAAAGACCGAGTTAATGTCCATTACAAAGCACATGTTTGTAGCTGGAAAAAGAGAAATTCTTTTTAATTCTGGAGATGGGATGTGGGGAGGTTAAGTAGCCTACTCACTTTAGAGGTGAAATATTGGAACTAAACTTGTTTCATATTGTGTTAATTGGGGATTACTGACTGAGTACATCTAAATGCTATATGAACAAGCCATGGCTAACTTGTTCCCCCAAAACCATGCAATGTATTAAACTGAATTTTGTACTTTAAATTATTTATTGACAATATAATGATTTCAATGATTTATCTTGAAAAAGGGACACAGAAGCCAAACACTGAGAGAAAGTTTGTGATTTAAAGAGAGGAACAACCACAAATCTTACGAGTAGAAATCATGATGATTGAATTTATCAGAGATGAACATAACATTGTCTTATTTTTTATTTAATATGTCTTCTTTAATATTTTTCACACAAAAAAAGTATATCTCTCAACATGAAAAAATCTGAAGAGAAAACCAGAATTTTATTGGCCCCTCAGAATTCATTCATCTTTCAGATTACAAATGAGCTATTTTCTTTAACAGGGAATCCTTTAGTATTTCTAAAAGCTCTTCACAGGGTGAAGGTTGGGAGGGAAAGCCATGCCAATAAGACGAAAAGAGGAATGAGGCATGAGGCTCCACCTAGTTATTTATCACTGCTCCTTAAAATAAATCATTATTGAAAAGAACACCCACCCACCCCCAGCCCAGCCTTTTGCTCTTCCAGAGACACATCTGATAGAAAGGTTTACTAATTGTTCAAGAAGCAAAAAAAAAAAGCTCAGCCAGAGGCATCAGATTGCAATATCCTCCTGTAAGAAAAGAAAAAGCACTTCTGATATTGAGAGTATAGTGGAAGTGTGTGTGTGTGTGTGTGTGTGTGTGTGTGAGAGAGAGAGAGAGAGAGAGAGAGAGAGATTGAGAGAGAGAGAGAGAGAATCTGTGTTTAAGGATAAAGAACAAAGTGAATACAGTAAGTAGCTATTACTTACTCCTTTAGGGATGTGTCTTTTTTGTTTCTAGATCCCTCACAGCACCTAGCACAGTACCTTGCATCTCATCTGCCACTCACTTAAAAGCATAGTGAATTCGTTAGTTATCAGGACAATGCCTTCAGAAAATGAGACATGGGCACCTCCTTGTCCTTGCTGTACTTTAGATATGTGACATCTAGCCTAAGAGAGCATTAAGACACAGGTCTGGACTCAAGTTACAAAACTGGATTGGCAAGTTAACAACGGAGTCAACTGAGGAAACAGAGCTCACTCACAGAGCCACCGAACATCTCCACGCTACTGAGCACTTGAAAAATGCAAAAGGTGCATATCACCAGGCAAATGCCCAGCTGGTCCCGGGTTGCTCATTCAGCCCTACTGGGAACCTAAGTCTAAATTAGAACAGCATAAGAAGTGAAGTCCTTTCTTCCCCAGAACCGTTCACCCACCCATCAAGGGAATGAGCAGAACACTATGGCTCTGTTTGAGGACCAAACCTGAAAGGCCAGCAGTCAGGGCCAGGAGGGTAGATCAGAATTGAATGGAATTTTTGCAAAGAGTGTTACTAGTGATCTTCAGGCCCGGGGATGGAATTAGAAAGGCAAACACGTGTTTGTGACAACTCCCTTCTCTGTGGACCTTTGCCCAAGTCTGGTCTCAAACCCAGGGCAGCCACAACTTCTACATCAGGGCAGCATCCTACCATAGCACAGTCACATTCGCGAGTAAAGGAAAACTGCCCACCCAGAGGAGATAATATCTGGAAGGAATGAATATTTGGGAAAAGTCCCAGTGCTAGTTTAGTGCCAACCAGTCCCCACCTTCTCCGGCCCCCTCCTACTGGTTCCTCCCCTTTCAGCTGCTCTAGTTCTTATAAAAAGTCCACAGCCTTTCACTAACAGCCTATAGGAGCCTCTCTCCCTACAGCTGCTGCACAAGACAGAGAGACCAACCCACAGGATCGCTGAGAGACCATGAAGAGCCTGCTGCTTCTCTCCATTCTGGCTGCCTTGGCCGTGGTAGCTCTGTGTTATGGTGAGAAATCTTTCTCTGGCCATTTCTCTGGATTTTCTTTTCTGCGTCTGACTTCAGTTGACTTCTATTTTTCCTCTCCCTCCTCCTTTCCTGTCCCTTTCTCTATTCTAATCTGAGGGTATCATTAATTTAACATGTCCCAAGTCTCAAGTCCCATGTCTGTTCCAACAAGTCGTTTTTATATCTTAACCAGCCTCTTGTATGCAACTTATTAGGCGAGTCCTTTCTATAGCAAGTCACTAGATACTTGGAAACTTTGTTATTTCAGAAAGAAGGTATGGGAATTCTCAGCCTCTGAGTTCTCATTTTCAAGAATGTTTATTTTGACTTTGGTAACAATTCGTTAAAGATGTTGATTGAATCACTTACCTTTAAAAATCAGTTTTCACATGAAGTGTTAAGTATAGCTCTCTCTAGGGACAGGACGACAATCTCATGAACTTACTACATGTGTTTGGTAAATTAATTTAAAAATGAAGTTTTACATTTAAAGACTCTCAGAGAAAAATTAATTTCATAATTTCTATGTCAAAAGATAAATCTTGCCTGGTTTCTGTGTGTTAACTATATCTATGTTTGTTCAAAGCCTATGAAAGAAAATCTGAATCAAAATTACTTAGATCATTCAGGCTTATGCTTCAAAAATCCGTATATTTTAGCTGTTCTTAAGCCAAAATTATATTAACAACTCTATGTGTTTTATTTCTAACTCCTGAAATTATTCACAAGCTTTCTGTATCAGAGGATTTAGTTTCTTGACCTCCCTTTGAACTTCTCAAGCAAATTCACTTGCTTACAAATATAAGTCTCTCATTGCCAAATTTACCTGCTAGAAAGGTAGAAAGAAGGAACGTGGTAGAAAGAAGAAATCTTCTGGTTTAGTGTCATCTCAGTTCTTTCTCTGAACTGGCATTGTGCCCGGTGGGAGTTGTGAGCTGGAGACAGTGGTTTTTGTGGCTGCCCGTTTAACACAGGTTCTTAAGAGGGTTTTGGAACCTCCTAGAAGCCTGTCTCCGAAAAGCCCAGCTGAGCATCTGCCCTTCCTGCCTGGAGAAACCTGGCTGTCTTCGAGACCCTTTTGTCCCTTCCTCAACTCTGCTCTCCGACAGGTCCCAAGTTAATCAGAGGAGATGACTCTCTGGAGACGTGTGTAACACTTAAACTGTCTTATTTCACCAGCCTTAAAACCTCAGAGCCCTTAGGAAATTTCAGCCAGAGCCCTTAGGAAATTTCAGCCAAGACAGTGTTCACGAGCTTCTTCAACATCAGAAAAACTGAAGTGTAAACATATCCGCAGCAAGGACAAAGCTAGAAAAACAACTCATGAATCCTAAATGCCTAAAATGTGAAATAACTATATTGCTAAATATAGTCCTGACATCTTTTTGAGTCTTTCCTCTCCTTTCTCAATATTTAGACTATTGCAATGTGTGATAAATAACAATAAAATAAATCTTTTCTTTTTAATTCTAGAATCTCATGAAAGCATGGAATCCTATGAAATTGGTAAGTGAATATTTATTTGACTTCCTTATTTAAATCTCATGTATTAACGGATCTCTCCCTGTTCTTAAAAAGACAAAATGTTAATACATATAACAGAGGGAAAAGAGGACTCTTTTTGGAAAACTAAAGTAAATTTTAAAATCCAATGACTATAAAAATCTCCAAATGATCATATTTTTAAAGCTCGAAGCAGTGTAATATGGCATTTAAACTGCACCCAGCATACTTAGGAGCCATAAAATCTCATTTGGAAATTTTAAGTTGGCACTACATCAACCACACAGATGGAAAACAAGGAGTAATGACAAATGGCAAAGTACGGAATTGAAGGCCAAGTCAGCTAGGAGACCACAGACGTCAACATTCCGTAGAATGCTATTGAATTTCTGAACTTATAAAGACTGAGTATAGGAGGAAATAACATATCATTCATTTTCAATTCATTCATTATTTTTGCCATGTTTAAACTGTTTCATTTACTAGTAATCTCAAGGTATGCTTTACAAGTCCTCAGGACAGAGAGAATTTCTCCTCAAAGGAATTTTAAAAACACACTGAATGGAAATATCAGAATTGAAAAAGGCAAAGTGATTGCCCAAAGGCAAAACAAACAAACAGAAATTGCAGCAGCCAATGTGACAAGTCTCAAAGACACTTCAGTGGGTTATTAATTTCTTTTTACCAAGCAGTTTATGAAATCTGCTTATCTTCTCCCTTTGATTTTTACATATCCCTAAATAAAATGAATGCATTAATGAGCTTTCAAACTCATTTGTGTTAGGGAATATTCATGGAAATGTTTTCAGTGACTGTTTCCCTAAAACTGCAATTGTTTGTTTCTGTTTTAAGGTCCCTTCCTTAACAGGAGAAATGCTCATACTTTTATATCCCAACAGCAGAGATGGAGAGCTAAAGCCCAAGAGAGGTGAGTAATAAAATTTAACTTTGGGTGAGGAACACACAATGCAATACTCATATGATGTATAATTGAATTGTACAATTGAAACCTACATAATTTTATTAACCAATGTCTACCCAATAAATTTAATTAAAAAAATAATTAATTAATTAATTTTTTTAAAAAAACTTAGTGGGGGGGGGAGTAATTTTTCCCAGTGTAGCAGCTCAGATCTGAAAGGAGTGAAAAATGGGTTTTCTAATTATATATTATTTCTAATTGTATCCCCAAATCAAAGAATTTTAAAACTATATACAGAAAACAACTGAATTTCTAGAAGACTATTTTGTAAAAGACTCAAAAATGAAGAGGAGGGAGGACAGAAAGGACAGAAAGAAAATTTGTTTGCATTTTTTAAATTTCCCTTGTTCCACTTTTCATCCCTGTTCTTCAAATATCTCTTAATATTAGGGGGAGGGGAGCGGCAAATGGACCTCTCTCCAATATTTCCTTCCTCCTTTTTTCTTTTCTTTTTTCTGATTTCTCCACTTTCTTCGTGCTTCTTAATCTGGGCTTCTTTTTTTTTTTTTTTCCCTTTCTAGAATCCGAGAACGTACCAAGCCTTTCCAAGAGCTCAACCGGGAAGCCTGTGATGACTTCAAACTTTGCGAACGCTATGCCATGGTTTATGGCTACAATGCTGCCTACAATCGCTATTTCCGGCAGCGTGGCAAATGAAATTGAAAAAAGTCTCTTTCCAGAGCCTGGTGCCTGATTTTGTATTCCTTTGCAGTAGCATCACTGAACCATATAGGCACATACGAATTGCTTGTTTCTTAAATGTTCTCATCTGGCTGCGCCCCTCCTTCCTGCTCCCAGATTGATAAATAATGGAAGTGCAGTGTAGTGAAGGTCAAAGGGGAGTTACGATGTGAGATTATTAACATAATAAACTTCTGGTTGGATACTTTCATTTTGTGAGTCTGATTTCTTCTGGGAAAATGCTGAGATATTTAAATCATTAACACAGCAGAGGAGATTCTGTTAATCATGTTCCCGTGTTGATTAGAAGCATAGCTTCACAGAAAGAATGAACCTTAGAAGACATTCACCCAGCCACAGTCTAGACTCCCTACCCTGGAGTCAGTGAATGATCGCTTATTAGGTGTTTTCAATAATTTTCAAACATCATAGATGTTTGAAAGGAGAATCATATGATCCTCCTGCTCCCCAACTTTAAATGGCCCCTCAGTTCCTTCTGTGTGGATTTCTGACTCTGAAGCCTGGCTCATCACCCTCCCCTGAATGTTATTTCCCAAGATTCACAGTTTTGACTCTTAACTTGGGCCAGGAAAATATGTTTACCTTCAGAATCACCAGAGACTTTTAAATAAGGAAATGGTGGAATTTTGGAGCCAGAAGATGCTAGAGCTCCTTGAGGCCTGATTTGCTGATGAGGAAATGAATCTCCAGAGGCTTCTAGCTTGGTAGTTAGAGACAGAGGCCAGGAATTAGCAATCCCACTTCCGACCTTGTTCTTTTCCATCGTAAGAACTGATCATGCCCACCCTTTACATCCATTACTTCCCGCCCACTGTCTTCATCTCTCTAGTGGAGTATCTTTCTACACGTTCAAAATTTTTGCAAAACTCAAGCACTTTATGAAATTGGTGATGACTAAATCCACCCAGCTCCCATCACACTACTCAAGCCAGTATCCAGTTTTTTAAGAATTTATGTAAAGAATCCAGTGCTTGATTCTTTATATAAATGATATTAATCAATTCATTTGAATTTGATTAAAGTTTCTTTTTATATATATTTATCTGCATTATGGTAATTTCTTTGGGGGCAAACACTGTGACAATGAGGGCAACGTTTTTCTCTCGCTATAGCTTTGGTACTATTTTCTGTTCAAAAGATTATTCAACAAAAGCTGAATAAACGACAGACTAGTCATACCTAGGAGTGATCACCCAGTTCTGAAACTGTTAGATTCGTCATAATAATGTGTGTTGTATAATTTAAACCATCATCATATTAATACAATGATGAGAATTTTAGAATTTTCTAAGCTCTTCTGCGTACCCATTAAATCTTAGAACTCAGAAGATGGGTAATATGTACTAGATGGTAAAATTGAGACTCAGGGAGGTAACTTTCTGAAGACATTGCAGTAGATGCAGGGGTGTGCCACTCAGACTGAGAAATTATGCCCCTGACCACTAGAAATATTGGCAGCTGATGTTTCCCAACTAAGGATTTGAGTGCAACTTTCTACAGACCTTTAGAGCTCTCTCTGTACACATCTTTGTCCTCTCTGGTACCTTTCTCTGAAACTGCTAGCCACCTCTCTGGACCCCCAGCTCTGTCTCCTCCATTTAGGAAAGCTATAAGGGTCTGCTTGGGTTTCATTTTCTGCCCCATGGCCTCAAAACTTTCCGGGAAGTTAGTTGAGCAGCTATAGGGCTCATCTCATTTGTTTTCTATCTCTTATGCATCAATATCGAGTAACCTAAAAGAAAGAAAAATATAGAGAAAAGGTAGAACAAAAAAACAAGAGAAAAAATGAAAACAAATGGCAAAATAGACTTAAACCTACCTCAATAATCTCATTATATGTAAATAGTCTAAACAGTTCAATTTTTTTACTTCTACATATTATAGATCCTACAGTAAATTTTTATTATTTTTGCTTTAAACATTCAATTTTTATTAAAAGGCTTAGATATTACAAAAAATATCTCATACATTACCCATGTAGTTTCCACTTCCCGTGTTTTCATTCTCTTGCATGTATCTAGATCTCTTTCTGTCATTTTCCTTCTGCTTGAATGACTTCCTTCACTATTTTTTATAGTGTATGTCTGCTGGATTCTTTAAGTTTTGAAATTTTGCCTTCATATTTGAGAGATATTTTCATTGCATACAGAATTCTGCGTTGCCAGTTTTTTCTTTTAATTCTTTTAAGATGTTGTTCCACTGTCTTCTAGTTTATATCGTTTCTAATATAAAATTTGTCGTAATTCTTATCTTTAGTCCTTTGTGTGTACTACTGTGTCTTATCTCTGGCTGCTTCCAAGGTTTTTCTCTTTAGCACCGGTTTTAACCAAATTGATTATAATGTACCTCGATGTGGTTTTTCTTGGTGTTTTTTTTTGTTTGGTGGTTGTTGTTGTTGTTGTTGTTGTTGTCCTTCTTCTTCTTCTTCTTCTTTTTCTTCTTCTTCTTCTTCTTCTTCTTCTTCTTAGGATTTATTGAACTTCTTGGATTGCATTAAATACAGAAATTTTCAGTCATTATTTCTTCAAACATTTTCCTCCCTCACTCTTATGCTTCTTTGGACACTGCAATAACAAGGACATTCAGTCCCTTGAAGTGGCCCCAAAGTTCCCTAATGTTATTTTTATAAGCTGTTTTTTTTCTGTTTCATTTTTGACAAATTTCTTTTAATGTGTCTAAAAGTTTACTAACTTTATCTTCAGCAATATTTAATTTGCTATTAATCCTATTTGGTGTATTTTTTCATCTCAGACATTATAGTTTTCATCTCTAGAAATGTAATATTGGTGTTCTCATATTTTCCATGTCTCAACATTTTTAACATCATGAATACTCTTATAATAACTATTTTAATGTTCTTATCTGCTAATTCCAATATCTATGTCACTCCGGTTAGTTTTTTTAATTTATTTATTTTAATTAGTTTCAAGTATACAGTATATTAGTTAGACATCTATATAGTTTGTAAAACGATCCCCCCAGTTGCTCCCTCACTCCTCTGACCCTCCACCTAACCGACGTATTAATATTAACTACATCCCCTATACCATGCTCCCCATCTCCATAACCATCCATCAGCTACTAATTTGTATTTCTTTAACCCTTCACCCCATTCTCTCAGCCCCCTAATGCCCCCTCCCCTCTGTCCGTCATCAAATTGTCCACTATATTTGTCAGTCTGTTTTTGATTAGTTTGTTCTTTTTATTCCTTAGATTCCACATATAAGTGAAATCATATAGTGTTTATCTTTCTCTGTCTGACTTAAATACCTTCTAGGTCCATCAAAGCAATATCTTTTTCCATTCCCTTCCTTTTCATATGTAGGGGTCTTGTTTTCTTATCCTTTCAGCCATGCTATCGTTTGGTTGGAGCACTTAATTCTTTTCCATTTGAGGTACTTATTAATAGGAATGTAGTTGTTACTATTCTTTTTTCCTGACTTTGATACATGTTTTTTCTTCTTAAAGAAGTCCCTCCAACATTTCCTATAATACTGGCTTGGTGGTGATAAATTCCTTTAGCTTATTTTTGTCTGAGAAGTTCTTTGTCCTTTGACTCTAAATGATAGCTTTGCTGGGTATTCTTTTTTGTAG